TTGGTGTAAACCCCTAGAGCTAGAAAACCCGAGACGCCCATTGTGGGGTCCAGATCGGACCACCTCACTCTTGTAAATTTAGCCCACAAGAACACATGATTATCCAACACATTCTTTCTAGTCGCTCCGACTTGTCCCTGCAGATGTCAAAATAACGAGAACCCGCTGAGAACCCGCACCAGCTCTCTAATTGGGTGCAAGTCGGCATGGTGTAAGCACCGAACGGTAGCCTGTGCAGGCCAACTTGTAAGGTTCTGAAAATTATTGTAACCAAGCGGCTCCTTTGTACCATTTCGCAGTTTCTCAAGTCGACCCGTCAGTTAACATGAACTACAAAATGTACAAGCGAAAGTGCAAAATGCCTCTAACGAGCCGATCAGCACCTCGGATTCCCATTCTTTCTTCAAAATCTTTTTTCTAGTCTCGAAAACATTGGTTTTCATCCCCACTTTCCGTCCGTTCTGACTGGATCGGAGCCCATTTCACAAGAAACGGAACAAGAAAGAGAGGGCCAGAATCACACGGGGCAGAAAATATCTACGGACCATCTACGCTTAGGCACAATCCGTATCCCGAGCATGGGTAGGGAGTGGCTGCATACTTCATTTGAATGCAAGGGCTGCTGCTTTTTTGGTGGGATATTACCGTTGTGAGACAACGGCAATCATGTCTTTGTCCAGTGCAAGACAAGATGACAGTTGCCTCAAGGGAAAATATCCCACGAAATCTTCGCCACAGTTAAATGGGATACCCACCCAAGCTTTTCCTTACTTTGGGATATGGAGCGTAAGTACGGTAGTTCCGAACGAATCCCACTATCGGTCAGGCTAGTGCATTATGAACCCCTTTCAATGCTTTCAGTAGTGATGCACGTTGTGAAATCGATTCTCATTCTAAAGTACGCGCGTTAACAAAAAGTTGTTACCTTAAATTCCAACCATGCAAGGCAGAATTCAAATGAAAGCAAAACACGAAGCAAAGTCCGTTAGCCACCAAGTCGTGTCACGACCCTCCCAAACCCGGTCAACTCAGACTGTTATCTTTTTCAGGACCGATTCTTCCTGAAGAAAGTACGATGGCAGATTTCAATCCTAGCCCATATTGGATTCGCGATCGCATTTGGAATTCGAGCGAACTTTGGTGTGGCTAAGAATAGAATGATGAATAACTTCACCGACGCTTATGGCGATACACACGTGAGTAGATCGTGTTTTTCCCATGGAAAAACCGTCTTCAATCAGTTTTCTCATCCATCATCTTCGTCAAAGATCACAAGTGGTGTGCTACTCATTCAACTTAATGCAAAAACACGGGGAAGATTGTATGCTTAAATCGCTTTTGGGAAATTAATGGGGTTAGAAAGGCGCTGCTCATGCAACTTCATTCTTCCTGGAAAGATCTGATCACTCAGTTAAAGGCAAAATCGGTCCCAAAGTTGGAACAGCCATTCTTTAGTGTGCAGTGAGGGGACAGTAAAAGCTACTAGCGTTACACTACATTATTTTGAACTGAATCCACCTGACTACCTGATCTCAGAGCACGTCTAAAGTAATCCCCAGCGGGAGGGGATCCGTATTTGGTCGCTGGGGTGCTTGGAGTCAAGTTTTTCCATGCGCGTTTCTTAAGGTTCTTCCGGACTGACTTTTTTATGACTTTGGGGCGATTTTCTCCTTTTCACGTGCGCTATGTGCTCCACCCCCCTCGCTCGCCGGCATTTTTTTTCGGGATACGACTGGAAAAAATAGGACAATGGTAGAGAGCATGGAAAGGAATCGTGCCAGAGCAGGAAATTCAGCGGGGGCAGGCTTGCAAAAAATAAGAAAAAGATTCCCGGTGATAAGACGTGCACTGTCTCACATAGCCGTCTCGCCTAGATCGACTAATTAGTTACGTCTACTGTGAGAGGATAAAGACACTGCCTCACATCATCTCGCCTGAGCAGGACTTTGCCTAGGCCTGACACCCATTAGAAAGACTACACTCCTTTGAGCGAAAATTGGCTGTGTACTCCCTTCCTGGTCCATTTTTCGGCTAGCAATTGCTTTTTTCTGGTTCTTAAGGAAAAAAAAGGCAGTCACACTCCTTTATTTTTGGAGGCGACTTTGAGTGACTTGCTTAGGGGCGGGATTTTTTTCTGTGAAATAATTGGATTGGCCCAAATTTCGTTCTGCTCATGGTCGGTGTGACTGTACTTCAGTTTCTCTGAGTTTTTCTTTGGTTTCCTACTGTGTTACAACCGTTGTTCGCCTAATGCACTCTCGTACGCTCGCCGTAAGTCGTTAGAACGGGTCCTGAGCGGATTCTAGTTCCGCTGACAGGTATTCAATCAAGGAATTGATACATGCACAAATTAGCTGTCTAATTTGATCATAGCAAAAATTGGGACATCCGTTTACAATTGTCAACCAGCTAATAGACACGTGTCAGGGCAGACCATTTCGAAGAAAATTCGTGGTTCAGAGGCCGTGAACGCAGAAATTTGATTCTTGGTCTGCAATGGAGGGGTGAGATCTCGAAAGGCGACAAAAAGGACAAACCTAGGTTAGGCTAGGGAAAAAGTCGCAAATGGGGTCCTTGTCGCTGGACGAGCGTACGACTTACGACAAGATGAAGGCTGCTCGACGAGTTCATTGCCTACCGTCATTCCAACACACCCCTTCGTGGATAAGGCATTTGCCATTTTCCTAGTGTGCACGCATCAGCCGCCTAATTATATTTCATAAATGGACCAGTATGATCATCCAAAAGAAGCATTTCGCGGAATGCGATCCCTCTTCTGATACGCCCATCTTCTCCATCCCACATGCATATGCACAATCTTCCTGAATTTTTCCAAATTTTCACGATTTCTTACCATTTTTCCTCAACTGCAGTTGAGCGAGGAGAGGAACATGTCGTCGACGTGGAACGAGAAAAACCGTAAAAGTCATCAACCAAAGACATTTCTCACAAAGGCGAATGCAACTCCCCTCCCAAACACGGACCCCTTCGCTTAGAATCCTTAACGCACGACTTGCCCTGTATTCAATTCAGAGCACGTAGACGGTGTTACTGAACAACTACGGGTTTCGCGTTGGTGACCCCTCCTGAGATGACAGGTAGAAGTTGCACCAATGAGAAAGGCGAAGCTATTGAAGTGGCTCCACCCGAATAAACCACTGCTCCAGTCGCAGAATGGAGCTTACGAAATTGCATGCGCCACATTCCGTGTAGTTTTGAAATGCTGGTCACTCAGTCTTCAACTTCCAATGAATTCTCAATTCTCAGATTTTCACTTCTTCCGGAGTAGAACAAAAACTAGAGGCGCCGCATAGCACTCATTCTACTGACTGGCAGGGAATTTTTTCACCAAAATTGACCGCTCCACAATTAGGACCTAACAATTGAATGATTCTGTCGTCTGATAAGCGCACGTATGGCTAATATCAATAATAGGAATCTATCAACACAGATCATCTTACGTATCACATATGTCTTGCCTTGCCTCTTCTATTAATTGTTACACTTCTTATGA